TTCTGATTTGGAAATGAAGGTGATCGGAGGAAATTAATTCTTTGTTAACTAGTAGATTTGAATTTCAGGTTGCAGTTCTCGAATCCGAAAACCAATTATTACGGCAGTACGCCCCAACTGAAATCGTGGCGAATTTGTCCAGTTTGGTACAAAAGCAGAAGGAAGCCAATGCTTCCCTGCAGCCTATAGCTGCTATACCGATCATTGTTCCCCCTAATGTGAGTTTAGGTTCAAGCATTGTTACTCTATCAAGAGATGTGAAATTTACAAATGTTCTATAAAATTCAGCATTACAGGTTTCCGTTGGTTTTTGCACATCTTCTTTCGCCAGAACATTGAACAATGTTCGACAGGAGATGGTCTTAGCCACTGCTACCACCAAAGAACCTGGCCATCTTTGAATTTCCAATATCTGTGATTGTTTTTACTCATTCTCGAGCTTTGTGTACAGTTTCCTCTCTTCTCACAGCTTTATATGTTCTCTGTCTCACGTTCGTTATCNTTCTGATTTGGAAATGAAGGTGATCGGAGGAAATTAATTCTTTGTTAACTAGTAGATTCGAATTTCAGGTCGCTGCACTTGAATCCGAAAACCAATTATTACGGCAGTACGCCCCAACTGAAATTGTGGCGAATTTGTCCAGTTTGGTACAAAAACAAAAAGAAACCAATGCTCCCATGCAGCCTATAGCTGCTAGTCTTCCGATCCTCCCTCCACCTAATGTGAGTTCAGGTTCAAGCATCGTAGTGCTATCGGAGATATTAATTTCCCAAATGTCATATGACATGCAGGAATTATAGGTTCCTGCTGGTTTTTGTTCATCCTCCTTTGCCACTACATTGAACAATGTGGTTGCCGATGTTCGACAGGAGATGGCCTTAGCCACTGCTACCGCCAAAGAACCTGGCCATCTTTGACTTTCCCATATCTGTGATTGTTTTTACTCATTCTCGAGCTTTGTGTACAGTTTCCTCTCTTCTCACAGCTTTATATGTTCTCTGTCTCACGTTCGTTATC